ACACACACACACACACACACACACACACACACCCACACCCACACCTGCAGTAGAGAGGTGGGGTAACTCTCGGCCTCGTCCCGCATCTCCGAGATGGTCTCTTCCAGCCCATTGTTGATACCTTCCAACTCGGCTACACGCTCTTTGAGCGCTGCAACCTCCGCCACTAACTGTGGATCGGTTGTGTATTCGATGACTGTCTGTACGTCGCTTGTTGTGGGCACAGGGCGAGGCGCTGTAGAAGCCATTGCGATAGCGTGAAGACATGAGTGAGTGAGTGTGTGTGCATTTATTGATTAATGGATAGCATGGATGTAGCCAGGTGTGTGTATATTGATAGTATGCATATATCGGTACGTGTGTAAATACATGGCTGTATGTGTATACGTACATGGGGTCAGCACAATTTATGTACATCCATAGCAATTGCGGACTAGTTGTGTACTCAAGGGATGCCTGTACCTCGCCCGTTGTGGGTACGGGAGAGGTGATGATGAAGCCAATAGGCCAGTGTGTAGGTAGTATACTGTGTGCGGGGGGTAAGTGTATGGATATATCAGTGCGTATGAATGGTTGTTAGGCATATATCAGGGTGCATGTATTGTCAGAAAGAAGTACATCGGGGTGTATGAGCTGGTTGTATGCATATATCAGTGTGCAGATATCCGACTGTATGGCATATGTGATACAATGCTCCTTCAAACTTTGAATAATAAAACACAACAGCATATGAAGAATTTCTTGCCCTCCATGACAGCCTCGGGTTCACCTTCAATCGGCACCGCTCGAGTCTCCAATGTGGAAGGGTTCTCGGCCACAGCCACAGCCACAGCCTTAGCCACATTCTCTCATACTTGATGTTTGACAATAAACCTAAACAGAGACTTTCCCTCGTACTTCTTTCTACGTACCTTCCGTTCAAACTTAATAACACAATGCGCAAAAGCTGCTTACCCGCTACTAGAGCCTCAGGTTCAGGCTCGTCTCTCATCGGCTCCGTCTGAGCCTCTGCGGTGGATGGTGCCTCAGCCACAGGCTCCTCAACTACACTCTCTCTGCGCTGAGGAACGGGGCTGATAGGCTCTTCAGTGCTCTCTGCAGCAGTAACTGTGGGGTACACGCGCGTGCGAAGGTGTGTTAGGGCTTGTCCGAGCAGACAGGCGTATGCAAATAAGCGATTTGTATGTGTTAAGATGGGGATGATTATTCAATTCGGTACATGTGAATATAGTATTGATATATATATATACTTACACCGATATATGTATACTAACACCGATATGTACATATGTATATATACATATATACATATATAAATATATACACATACATACATAAATACATACAAATATACACAAAAACATACAAACTTATATACATACTTTCAAAACTTATATATATATATATATAAACATAGATACACAGCCACCCACAAGATATATATGAATACGGATATATCTACATATCCTTCAGCATGTGACGATATGAACTCCAAATGCGACAGACGTATATACTCCGGCGTGGATTGGTAAGAACTGATTGTGGCTTCTCACATGACCCATCACCCCAACTATGTGATTGGTAGTTAATATAGCATAGCTATGCTTGTAAATGCGTGTACACATGACCAATCTAAATCCTGAAACATGATGTGCAAACAAATAACTGAAGATATCGGATCCACACAAAGATACGTATATAGATGAACGTATACGTGAACAAAAATGGTCAAGAGCGTTCCAATTTCTGTTACTAAATTCAATATATTCGGATAAGACAAGTACCTAAATGAACCGCAGAACAAAAACTCTATCCGAATTTAGTGGATGACTTGTACATGTCGCTGAGACAGATTTCTATTTGTGAATTCGTACACTAAATACAAAACTAGTCCTGTTCTAAAACGTCCCAATAAAAGCACATTTTTTTTTTATGGAGTTAGCATATGTATCCGAATTCACAATCGAAAAAATGCACACACACACAATTATAGGGGCAACAATACAACAGTACACACACACACACACACACACACATAAATATATATATATAAATAAATATATATATTAA